GTGATTATCTGTTGCTGTCACTTCAGTCCAAGTTACATCGGAAGTGCAATTGTCATCAGCATCAAATTCTACATCTTGCGAACAGTTCAAAACAGGTGCTTCGCAATCTGAACATCAATAAAATAATATTTTAAAAATAATGAACAGTTTCTAAGTGGTATAACTGAATAATTCTAAACAAACACAAACAAATATTGTCATTACCAATCACCAAAATAGTAAAATTGCATAATGCGGAGTTGTCACTACAGTCAGTGGCTATGTATGTTACTACATTTTCACCAATTTCAAATTCATCTCCTGATGTGTAATCTGATGTTATGTTTACATTGTCACAACAGTTGTCAGTTGCGTTGATTGGTTCCCAAGTGACAGATGCTGCCATAGAACCAGTTTCAGCACAAACTTCTATGTCAGCTGGGCAATTTATGACTGGATCTTCATCATCTGGTTAAATTAAAAATGATTAATTGATTGAAATAGAGTATATTATTATTTTCATAACACATACTTATAATTTCTAATATTAACATACTTTTACACATGTAAATATTCCAATGATTTTGTAAATCTTACAACACTTCATCTTTTGTTTATTTATTTAATTTCATAATTAATACCCTACATTTTCTATTACTAATTATACTATTCATAAACTCTTCTCAGCATAATTATAAGACAATGAAAATATGACTTACCATAAATAGTAATGGTAAATGTACAATTGCCAGTGTTATCATAATTGTCAGTGGCATTACATGTAACAACAGTGCTGACATCAACAAATATGCTTCCACTTATATAATCACATACTGGTGTGAAAGAGTCTCCAGAGTTGTCTGTCACATTGGGTGCTGTCCAGGTGACATTTGCCAAGCAGTTCTCGTCACCTGTTACATTTTGGTTCGGTGGACATTCAAGATTCGGAGGCTCACAATCTAATTATAATCAATAAAATGCAGTCACTGTAACATAGTACATTCATTTGAGGAATCAAATTGCTTAACTTTGGAATATATTTTTATTCAGTTTTCAAATATGTACCTTTGAGCAATAAAGATTACTCTTAACTACTAATAAATACTTTAAATGATGTTACTTATTTTAATTTGTTTCTGGTACCATCAGTCAATATAGCAGTGCATAATCAAACATTTTATGTTGATAATAATTACCTTTAATAATATTAAGTATTTTAATTGTTAATAGTACCTTTAACTTCAACAGTAAATTGACAGTAACCAACATTCCCATTACAATCTGTTGCTGTATATCCTACTGTGTATACACCAAGGCTCAGAGGGTCTCCACTGGTGTAGTTAGCAGTTATGTTGACATCACTACAGCAGTTGTCAGTTGCATTGGCTGGTTCCCAGGTTGCATCTACTGAATCTGTTCCTAGGTCAGTGCACACCTCAAGGTCAACTGGGCAAGTCACATTAGGGGCTGTCTCATCTGTGCAGTGAATAAAATGTAAATCATATTCGAAGTAAAAAAAATATTAAGCCAATATATACATATGTATATATATATATATATATATATATATACATATGTATATATTGGCTTAATATTTTTTTTACTTCGATAAATATATATATATATGATCTCTATGAGCCATGATCTCTGGGTGATTATCTTTAATCTTTTTTCATTCAAAAAGTGCCTCTTGAATTTATTAACTTCCCATAAGAACCTCTTGATCTTCATCTATTTCCATAAGCACCCCCTCAATTTCAACTCTGTCTTCATAAGCGCCTCGTTTAAATAAGCGCCCCGTTTGATTAAGCGCCCCTCAGAAAGTGCAAAAAAATATTTTAAGCGCCCGGGCGCTTATTCGCGCGAGTACGGTAATTTGTTCTCTGACTTCCTTTTCAATTGGCTATGTGGCATACCACTGAGATTGGTCTATATTAGGGCGCTACCTCTGTATATGAGGGTGTCTGAGACTTTCCAATCGTTTAGACAACCATACCATTCATTAATGATTTACTCTTTAATGGAACATATATATAGCAAGTTTAAGTTTATAGCCAGTATCAAAATTATGAACATCAAGGTTACACTTTTTAGATAAGCATGCCAAATTGATTTTCAATATCGCCAGTTACAAGTGTCGTCATTTTAGTGTGTGTATAAAATTTGGGTCCATTCTGTTGTGTCTTCTTTAATTACGTTTGAAATGCCTGTTCCTAAAATAATTGCTTAAATTTCCACAATCAAGAATGGATGAATATTGTTTGAATTTTTGTTTATTCTTTTCACAAACATTTGGGATTGTGTTTACAACTGATAAAGAATAATTTGATTTCAATTTTCAAATTTTATTTGAGCATTTGTTTCTAAGTGAACGATTATTAAAAGGTGTTTGTCAGACATGATCACAGTCATACATAATCTATGAAATCAGGTGTGATCCATTTTATTTCATCTATTTTAAGTAAATAAAACAATATACAAGATAATTGCTGACATTGTTCATTGGTTAATCTGATAAAAAACATCAATTCAATAAATATCGCCAATGTGCTTTGTGCAATGTCATAAGAAATACAAATGCTCATTATTACAGTCAGTCCAACCAATAGCTGGCTCTTCAAAGATGGCCTCTGAGAACATACAAAAATATAAAATTTTAAAAAATCCAAAGATATATTATAAAAATTGTAAGGACCCCTGCTCCAAAACCAATCCATCAGTGGTACAAGTCTTAGTTGACATAGTCAATTTGCATGCGCGATGATCCCCGATTGCACTCTTGAACCAGGGCCCCTAACAACCTAGTTACACCAATGTTTGCAAGTCAAATTTTCAGAAAATGTATTTTTTGTGACGTTACTATATTATAACAATTGCATTCTTCTAGTGAACCATGTGATATTACTGCTTGTACACCGTTGTGATTTACCAGGCGTTTCTCAGCCGTGGCCCTAAAACACTGTGATTGCTGGTTACGTCTCGTAACAAGCAACCATTATTGCCTTGCCCATTCCTTCTTTAATCTGTCCAACTGTTCTCGGTCATATTGCTCCCAGACCAAACTAAATACTATATGCTACATTAGGCAATGTCACACTACCTCACCATTGTTACTACCTCTGGGTGCTCTAAAAAAAGAACGTGTCAATTGTGGTTGTAATTTTCCAAATTTATTATCAAATTTACTTTAAGAACATCAGACAGCAGCTCCATTTAATTGAAAACTTAATTGTATCCAACTGTTAAAAATTCTTGTATTTATATGGCGCACCATTATGTGGACTCGGCATGATGAGTAGTAAAGTGATGCATAGTCGAGTACAGGCATCCCTCTAATTAAGGACTGCTCCAATGAATGACAACTTTTATCTGGTACCAATCAACTGTCGTTTATCTTCATTATTCTAATTAGAGACCAAAGCTACTAAAATAATGTATAGTTTGATGTTTATTCGACTTACATGTTTGTAAAGCCATGGTGCTATGCCCCTTAAATAGCCCCGTTGCTAGACTCATTGATCAGGGGTGGTGTAGAGCCCACAAATACAAAAATTACCACAAATAATTTTTTGATAAATATTATCATCCAGCAAATGTCAAAATAACAACAATTTTTTTTTAAATGGCCCAAAAGTGAAACATCAGATTAACTATAAATGTAAAAGCATTTCAGCTACAAATGTAAAATTTTTCTTTTACATCAAATGTCATTATGTCAGCAACAAATGTAAAAAAAAAACAACTCATAGTAAAATAAGTTATCAGATGTATGCGTGTGTTTGTGTGAGTGTATGTGTGGATCTCAGTTTATCAATATCTATATAAACCTTCTCAAATATCTTACCTATGATGAAAATGTTGAATGTACAGTACCCAGTTTAATCTGTCCAACTGTTCTCGGTCATATTGCTCCCAGACCAAACTAAATACTATATGCTACATTAGGCAGTGTCACACTACCTCACCATTGTTACTACCTCTGGGTGCTCTAAAAATAGAATGTGTCAACTGTGGTTGTAATTTTCCAAATTTATTATCAAATTTACTTTAAGAACATCAGACAGTAGCTCCATTTAAATGAAAACTTAATTGTATCCAAGTGTTAAAAATTCTTGTATTTATATGGCGCACCATTATGTGGACTCAGTTCAGATAGTAGGCCTATTACAAACCTACAATTAGTCATATATAAATAAATCTTACCAATGATATTAATTGTAAAGGTACAATTTCCAGTGTTGTCATAATTGTCTGTGGCATTACAGGTTACAATTGTAATGTAGTCAGAAAAGGTGCTTCCATTTACATAATCACATTCCGGTATGGAAGTATCCCCAGAGTTGTCTGTGACATTCGGTGGCATCCAGGTAGTGGTTGCCATACAGTTAGAATCTGCAGTTAAGTTTTGGTTTGGGGGACATTCAAGCACTGGTGCTTCATTGTCTGATAGAGAAAACATTACAGCAACATTAAACCAAGACTTTTAATTGCACAGTTAAAAGTTATTGATAAAATCTTGAATTTGAATAGTTTCTCGTTAAAGTGTATGTTACAGCAAAAACACTCTTCCAGTTAAACAATATCTAATTAACTGATGCACATTCATCTATCCAGGTTGACAATTATAAATATAAATTAAAAGTTTATATCTCTGGATAAAGCAGAAAACACAACTACAGTGATAGTCAAAAGCTTTAAAACGTAAGTTCTTTTGTACAAAATTTTAATTTATATTTATAATATCTAATAAATTATGTTGTACCTTCAACATTAATAAGGAAGACACATTCATCCTGGTTGCCATAGCAGTCCACTGCTGTGGTTGCAATTTTAGTAACTCCAATTTCAAAATCACTGCCATTCGTAGCATTATATGACAAATTAATGTTATCGAGACAGCAGTTATCAGTAGCAAATGCAGATAACGTTTGCTGTATTAACACCTACATCAGTATCAACTGTAATATCGTCTGGACATGTCACGTTAGGTGAAATAGCATCTAATAAAAAATAAATAGTCAAGACTAATTATGTTATTATGAAGTGTTCTCTCTTATGTATGCTGAAAAATAGTGTATGTGACTGCCTTCATGAGAAAAAAAACCTCTCTTCAAATATGGCAAATGAAAATCGCATTTATTTGGTTCCTTGAAGAAATTGTATGGTGCAGCAGATCTTGACCACAGGATTGGGAATTTGCATTCAAGTCGTTGACAGTTTTAAATATCTTGGTATCTGGTTTGTTTCATCACTTTCTTCTTAAATGTGCATGGGGACAAACTATGTTGTAAGGTGAGCTGTAAAATTTCTCTCGTTATATTGATAATAACTTCCTAATTTAGCATTACAAATCTCTCATTTTACCATTACAGTATTTGGTTATTGTTATTTAGTTTGAAAAAACTTTGCGGAAAGAGTTCATTGGATAAATTACAAAAATCATTACAGCATAGAGCAGCACCTGTTATCCTTATTATTGATCACAAAACAAATTTAGTTCAAATGTATGTTTCTCTTGGTTGGTCTTTTCTTAGTGAAAGGAGAATAAAAAATGTTCACAGTTTAGATAACAAATGCTTCAGTGGCAGAGTCCTTTCTCTGCAAAATACTTTTACTTCAGTTGACAGGGCACATAGATCTAACTATTCTACAAGATCCAGTTATGCAGGAAGCTTAATTTCCCTTGAAGTCAGAACTGAATCTGGTAAAAGAAGATTTACAGTTAGATAACAAATGCTTCTGTGGCAGAGACCTCTCTCTGGTAAAAGAAGATTTACTTTTTAGGATACTAAAAATATGGAATGCAAGGGGTAGGTAATTCTTTTTCGTCATTCTTCTATTTCAAAGTCATTTGATATTTTGTGTTGTTAATCCTGGAAGAACATAACATTTTACTTAAAAGGAAACCCAGTATAAAGAACAAATAAAGCCGGACACTCACTGCATCGTGCGACGGTCGTGACGAATCCATGTTTGCTTCCGGCAAGCGATAGACGATGCTGATTTTCAGTGGCAATCAGAACATATCCTCGTTAAAAAGACGATCCGTTGGGTCCGCAGTGAGTAACCGGCTTAAATATCCATATTGTGCTTCGTGCACTGTGAATTCTGATTAACATAACCTTTTTGTAATTTTAGACAAAGTCTATTCTCACAATACCAGGGATTAACATTGTCCACGATAATTATTCTGTGAAATTTTTCTTTTGGTTTAACTCAGTTGTCAATTTTTATTTTTATTTTTTGAAAAAAAATCAGAAATATTCTATTTAATCCAGAATGAATTTATTTTCTCATATTATTTTGTAGGTTTTTTTTAATTTCATTTCTTGAAATATCATTAGCGTAAACGACTACGGTATGTCATCAGAAAATATCCTAGAAATACCAGTTGAAATTAAAAATAAATTAGGACTAAGTGAACTACCTTGAGAACACCTATATCAACATTAGTGGCTTTTAATTTCTTTTATTTTCTTTAATTTGTTTACTTTATTCATTTCTTCTAACAGCGAAGAATCGCCACTTACCTACAGTTTCCTATTGCTGAGATAGTTTTTTTAACTATTTATAAAATATGATGGAAGCGTTGCCACAGCAGCTGAGGCTTGGACTCTCAATCTCTTGGTCAGAGGGTTTCAAAATTCTTTCTGTGCAAGTCGTTTGTGTCCTTGGGCAAGACAATTTATCTGCGTTTGTCTCTCTTTACCCAGGAGTATAAATGGGTGCCGGCATATGCCAGTGAGGAAGAGTGGCAATCCCCACAAAGCATTGAACAGTTTGGCCCCCAATGATTAAGAAAGAGGGATGGACAGGTTCAATCGACTACTTTTACATTTATTTAGCTTCAGTAAATAAAGTACGGTGCGATCAGTTGTGTCAAGACATTTGGAAATATGTGACTATGAATTATGATGTGAAAACCTTTAGTAGTTGTGGTTAGTGGTTAATTCTGTCAGTTACTGATTCAACTTTAGTGACAAGACGTTGGACAATATGTATGTGAACACACTTATACATCATGCATGACTATTCAAAAATTATTGCATGACTTACAAAATCACCTCTTGTTTGTTGTTGCCTATGGATTAGGAATTTCTTGAAAATGGAACCCAGTGTTAGCCCCAAAATTAATATTATTATTCAAATAATGTCCTGGAAACCGATCTGCTTCGCCTGATTATTCTATATACAAGTGACTACCGGACTAAATCAAGTATGTAAGAAGAAGAAATTAGTTTTATTAAAAATACGAAAACGGTCATGCAGTAATTTGATTCATTAGACATTATTTAAGTCAATACTTAATTCACTGACACGTTAAAAAAAATTATCAGTATGCCTCTTCATTTTTTGTAATGAAATGTTTATGTACATAGTTAGGGTGCTCAACTTAAACATAAGGTACATTGAAACTCAAATTGTACGTGGCTTTATTAAAAATATTCTTGTTTATGTACCGTATCCGGTATTGTCAACAAACGCTCCCTGAAATCGTTTTAAAACAGCTTAAAAATTCTCAGATTGTCGGAGAGTCAGGGGTCTCCGTACCCTGGACCCCACAAGGGCTCCGCCTTTGGATGCCAAAGGGATCCCGCGCTTCCCCACCCCCAGCAAATTGGTGTAGTCACGCATTTCAAATCTCTCAGGTTGCTAACTGTGTTGTGTCGTCTAGAACACACATGAAACATTAACCCTTTGTGTACAGTATTATTTCGGTGCTATTTTTGAACCTCAGAAAACAAACTTGTATAGAACCAAAGGTTAATATTTTCTGTAGGCTCGCAATCAGGCAAGGTCCAAAGTGACTTAAGCCTGGGCTTCAAAGTTGCAAGTTAAATCAAGGTATGTTAGATGTATGTGGTTTCTAGTAGTAGTGCTTAGTTAGGGCTTAGTCTTACTTAGGGCTCACATGAAGTAATGTCTGTTGCAATTGTCTGAATGGAATGGTACCATCTAAGCCTTCGTATTTGATTCAAAATCTTTGATAAGAAACACAAATATTTAAAGGCCTGATACCTTTGTACTTCAGTAGATTTAGGGTATTATACATATATAAGATTATATGTACCTTGGATTAGGCAGGAATGATGTTTTGAGATTAACAGACCTTATGTAGCAACAACGCAGTCGAAGTTGGAGTAACTTTATCCATAGAAATTATAAATAATAAAATTAATGCCAATGTAAAAATATCTTTAAAATGATGTTTGTGGTGTGGTGCAACGTTCCTACTCATTAGTGGGTTTAATGTATCCCTCTAGAACTTTATGGTTATTTATATTTATATAAATTGCATAATACGTACCGAAAATGTAGAAGTCAAAGGAACAATTGCCAGTGTTGCCAGCCATATCTGTTGCATTACAGGTTACAGTGTAGTTGTCCATATCAAATATACCTTCAGTTGGGTTACAGAAAACATTTACCTCACTGTCATAATTATCAGATGCTGTTACGTCAGTCCAATTAACATAGGATTGGCAATCATCATCAGCATAAAACGTCAGGTCTTGAGAACAGTTCAACACAGGAGCTTCACAATCTGAATATCAATAAAAGTGTAACAGTTAACGCATATTGAATAAGTTTCTTTTATTGTTATGCAACTAAATATTGTATATAGAACAAAATTAGTCAACAGGAGTGGATCCAGAGATTTCCGAAAGGGGCCGATCGAAATAACACCATCCTAGAGGATCCGATGGCATGCCCCCGAGAACTTTTTGTTTTCTAGATGCCCAAAAATAACCTCTGATGCATTATGGGCGATAATTTTTTTCTTTTTCTTTTTTTCCAAAATGAGGGGGTTGCGGCTCGCCACCCCCCCCCCCAAAAGCCTTCCCCTGGTCTAAGCTGCGTACCTGAGAAGACCTCTTGGCAAAGAGGCAATAAAAACGTACGTAGTAAGCAAATCTGCACTTACCCAGCACCACAATAGTAAAATTACATGATCCACTGTTTTCATTACAGTCTGTTCCTGTATATGTGACTACATTTTCACCAATTTCAAATTCATCTCCTGATGTATAAT